TCTTAGATAGAAATCTAGCAAGGGTAGTGATTAAGTGATTAGGCCGTAAACTGAAGGTTTCTTGTAGGTTTTATAAATTGATACTATTATTATAGATCTGTCCCTGGCTTGGTATGCCCCTAGAGTATGAGAGTTGCTCTGAACTGGGTTAACAATTCAGGTTTGTTGTTTATGCTTTTGAGTACTATTTTTTATTGATATCCTGCATGTTTGTTTATGTCGGATCAGATGTCCCGACATATCATAAGACATATGAGTTATGTTATACTAGAATTTCAAAATTCATCATAATATTTTATCTCAACCTAAAAATCAAGGTCATATAATTTCTCATCAACAATCATCTCAACATAAACATCAACATCCCTCCTCATGGGGGAAATCAATCACAATAATCAAAACAAAATATTTTCCTCGTCATTAACCATCTATTAGCGTTGCATAACAAATAACATTGTATAATCGCGTTCTGAAGTACAATATTAACCTCTTAGGACCTTACCATGAGGTTGTTACCTCATATTTTTGAAACAACATGGATTAAAGATAATCTTACAGTCATAATAAAATTGACTTGAGTTGCATTCCATTCGAGAAGATCATATTCGACCATATGATTGGACTTTTGGCCGAAAGACGAATATCAACGAGGCTTCAGTCGAAGACAAGAGATGCTCGAGTCTTGAGACTTAGTAAAATTTGGAGAACTTTCAGTTTAATGCTACTACTATTGATGCAAGTTTGTCGAAGCAATATACAAACAAATAAGAGAAAACAATTATTAAAGGATACATGTGAGCTTGTCAAAGGCGGTATTTTCATGGATACATAGACGGGTCAAATGTTATTTAGTCAACCGTTGGTGATGGTTACTTTAGAACTAGTATATAAGTAGTTCACGATAATAGGATTAGTGAAAAAGGAGTGATTTAAATTAATGTATGCATTTGTGTTGTACTTATAAATCCAGTCTTTTTTATTTTCTCAGTTTCATTTACTATAGTTTTATTTTCATTTTCCATTTCGACATTCATTGTCAAATGTGTTGCAAACTAATGATTTTTGCATAATTCATCCTGGGATATTTTTGAGTTTAATCCCTTACGTGAAATCAAACTTGTCTTTGTTTACCCAAATTGGCACATCCAGTGGAACCTTTATGCGATTTTTTACAAACATTTGTCTACACCAAGTTTTTCATTTATGAAACTTTTTCAATGTCCCGAGTATGTATGAGATTGAGAAGTGGTAGGATAACCAAAAAATACATTAGAAAAATAAATAGGATATACCTTAGAATGGTTCGTCAAAGAAATACCAATACCAATGGAGAACAATCATCCAATACTACGAGTGGAGGCACGGTCGCCGCGACTTTAACTGAAGCAAACACCTTCACAACAAGCACGACGACCACACGTGGATCACGCAAGAATGAGCTATAATTTCGCTTTCAATAATGGTGAGTCTCCCTGTGACTCCGAGGCCAATCCTGACAAGGGATTTCTGGCCTTACGCCTAAGTTGAATTTTATCACGTCTCAAGCTCCTGGACGAGAATTATCCATTTAAAAGTCTTGCCAACATATGAAGAGAAATGACTGTAAGAAAAAGCAAAGAGTTGATATAAATTAAATTTCGCATCCTTGTCAAAAATCATCTATGACAAACGATTTCGTAAGGGATAGAAATCCTAACATCTTTCTAGAGTAGATTTTCCACCTAATGCTCCACCATCAATGGTGAGTTTCTCCTTTAAAAAATTATCCTTGTCTAAAAACCCCCCAGTGAAGCAGGCAAATGAAGAAGGAGAAAAAGTTTTCGAGTTTACCTTAATATGAATTTAAGATGAAAAATGTAATTCTGTGCTATCAAACAATGAATAGCTTGCCCTTTTTGTGAAGTAGATGTCAATATATTGATTATTTTTTTACGGGAAAAGACTTAATACATGTTGGTACTTCGATAAAATTATAGAAACTAGCAAGAGATGGAGCCTCTCATCTAAAGCATGAGCAACCTCATTATCTTGTCTCATAGAAAACTTAACCCGGGAGTTCCTAAATAAAAGAGCTAATAAGCGATTACATTAACGAGTAATAGCACCAATGTTCAAAACATTTGGTTGCTGAATATTCACACCCACACTATCCACAACACTTTTAGCATCTAACTCAAAATTCGCACTATCATAACCAAGCTTATGCACCATTTATTAGATGCAAAGAGTCCTAAAGCTTCCCCAACATCAACTTATGTATTAGGCGAAAACCATTCAGTCTAGGTTGCAACAAACAACTCCTCATCATCTCTATTGCAAGCACCTATTGCTACCTTGTTGTTAAAAAATATGCATTGATGTTGCATTTGATGCGACCAGCCAAAGGTTTGTTCCTCTTAATATCAATTGACATTTGAGCTTGTGTTGTATTACTTGTTCTAAGTTGTTGGCCATCTCTCCAACCAGACAGTAAATGCAAAGCTTGATTACAAATAGAGTTCAAGGAGTCTTCGATAAGATTCCAAATATGGTTGTTTCTACCCAGCCATATGCTCCACAAAATAGTTGAGAACACTGCGTCGCTCTTGATTAGAGACCTGCAAAAAGGAAAACATAACAGAAGCAAAAGCTACTTCAATATTGAGCCACTGCTGTAGCATAGGCCAAAGTCCCACTTTCTCCCAACACTCAATACTCTTTGAACATTGTAAGAACAAATGCTTATTATTCTCATCTCCTTTCCCACAAACAACGTAATTAGAAAGACAATATACATCTATGTCTATTAATCACATTCTCGTTGGCACATAATTCCTATAAAGGCGCCACCGAAAATTTTTAACTCTTGGAGGAGTTTTTATTTTCCAAACCAAATCTCATTTCTCGTCAATCTTAAGGAATAAAGTATCAATGACATCATTTACATAATAATGATAAGTACAACACACAAAACCTACTATTCTTTTCAAAATTTCTATAAGAGTTGTTAATTTTTTTCATAGAAAAAAATGATATTGAGTATTATCATTAGTAATTCATACATTTAAAAAAAACTGTTACTTAACATTTATTTTAAGACAAGTCAATAAGATAAATCGTGTTTTTGTAAACGTATTTAAATCTCTAACTAATTCCTAAATTTTGAATAATATTTTTACTTGTACTTCAAATATTCTTATAAATGAAATGTTATAAACTAAGTTTTGTTTTTGTAACATTCCTTAATTCAATTGCTCCCGTAAGAAAAACTCAGCAACTCAAATATAAACATTTATAAAATGAAAATAAAGTAATGAAAGTGAAGTGATGGTAAAACTAATTACTACGTAGGAATTGAACTAACTTATATTTTTTAGTTAAAACGATACATAGTTATGATTAAGTTGAAGATGGTAGTAGAGAAACATGTATAAAGAGGTTGGTTTAATTTGTGGAATATTTATTTTGTAATAAATAAATTTAAAGTAAAGATTAGTATAACAAGTCAGGATGGCCGAGTGGTCTAAGGCGCCAGACTCAAGTTCTGGTCTTCGAGAGAGGGCGTGGGTTCAAATCCCACTTCTGACAAATTTATGTGTTTTTAACTGTATTTTGCATTGCTTTCATAATGGGCTTCTTAAATGATAATGTCCAAGCCCAACTTCTTAAAATAACATCCATTATCGATTGATTCTTAATGATGTGAGAAGTAACAAAATGTTGAGGGGGTTTGTATCTATAATCCAAAAGGTGGCAGCCATTGATTTTTATTTCAAAGAATATACATCTTAAGTGGACTAGAATGCACAAGAACATATATAAAATGAGAGAAATTCTTAAGTAGACACAACCATAAAAACATCTCTAATTAGAACGAACTCTAACTTAATCCGTAGATTACTACAGAAAGATAAATTTTCTTCTATTTGCTTAGGATCATTGATGATGTTACATTATCTAATATAATCAATGATGATGTTACATTGTCTGATATGAAAGACCAACTTAATCAAATGAATCATCTTCTCGACCACTACAACACAAGAGGTGTGGTCATTGTTGAGTATTATTGTTTTAAATCGACGATGAACATGTTCCACTTACCAACATTCAACTTCAAAATAATGATGATGATGTGAGTTATGTTATCGATATTTGATCAATATCATATCAAGGGATTGGTCGAGTTAGACACTATCTTGGTCTAATATTTTGTATTATCTATTAAAATTTGATCGGTCTCAAGACAAATGATAAAATCAGAAGAGCATGGTTAAACTTAGTGAAGAATGGTTAGACTCAATGAAAAAATAGTCCAATTTACAATCTTATTCAATGAAGAAGTGACTAGTTAGTCCAATCTATAATCTTATTTTTAATCTATTATGTTGTTGAATTTGGTTTGTATTTTGTTGTTAAATTTGGTTAAACTTAATGGTAACTGTGAATTTTGGCCCGTACTTCAGTTCAATTAATAATAGTAAACAGAAATTGTAAAAACAAGGACAGGGCTTGTTGAGAGAAGAAATAGAATTTACAATTTATGGCAAAATCAATGGAATCTCATAAGGGAGAAAATAAGATAGTAAAAACACTAGACACAAAAGTATACTAAAACGAGTAAGGACAACTTTTGAGTAGTATCTTTTGAAACTGTTCATTTTAGTTTACCAAGTAAACATGTGATTTTGTGTTTGTTTAAAATGATGATTGCACTTTCTTTCACCTACCAACGAAACAAATATATACAAGTATCTAATAGAAGAGATTGAAATGAAACGTGCAAAAAGTTATAATCCAAAACTGTAGGATTACAAGTTGTTTTTGAAGAGAAAAAAACATGCGAAGTTCTTAAATCACTAGTCTTAGTTCTAAATAACAAAAGCTCCAAAAAATATATCTGAAAATTTCGCTATTAAGCATTGGTCTTCAGAATCAAAATGGAGCTTAGACTGTGGTGAGATCACACAGATACTCTTAACATTAAGAACTGCAAAATCAGAAACAGGAAGTAAAATTGGTCAAGCACCAGTAGAAGCATTCACCTCTTTTGGATTTCGGTTAGCTTGAACCCAACCACCATCAATTTGTTCCAGACTTCCATTCAAACCATCATCGACAAAGTCACCGACCCGTTTAACCTTAAGCTCTCTCGGTTCAACAGGGTATTTCCCAGAGAAACAAGCATAGCAAAAATTAGGAGAGTCATTCCCCAACATAGTATGCAAGCTGTTCATTGGAAGAAAAGCAAGTGAATCTGATCCGATAAAATCTCTTATTTCTTCAACACTCATCCTGTTAGATATCAACTCCTCGGAGCTAGGTGTATCGACTCCGTAATAACAAGAACCGATAATTGGTGGACATGCGATTCTCATGTGAACTTCTTTTGCACCTGCTTCTTTAAGCAACCTCACAATCTTTGAGGATGTTGTTCCCCTCACAATTGAATCATCAACAACAACAACCCTTTTACCTTCAAGAACCGCACGAACCGGCGAAAGCTTCAATTTCACACCAAAATCCCTAATTTTCTGAGATGGCTCAATGAAAGTCCTTCCTACATAGTGTGATCTAATCAACCCTTGTTGAAACGGAACACCGGCTTTTTCAGCATAACCAAGTGCAGCAACAACACCAGAATCAGGAACTGCTATCACAACATCACAGTCAACAGGGCTCTCGGTAGCAAGTACCTCACCGAATCGTCTACGCGATTCATACACAGACCTACCAAAAACAACAGAATTAGGCAAAGCAAAGTAAATATGCTCGAAAATACATTGCTTCGGCTGTGGATGCGACATTAGACAAAGCGATTGAATCCCGTTATCGTCGACCACAACAACCTCACCAGGGAACACTTCCCTCTCATAAGTAGCTTCAATCAAATCAAGAGCACAAGTCTCAGAAGCAAAAACAACAGCACCATTACTTCTTCTCCCCATAACCAAAGGCCGAAACCCTAAAGGATCTCTGACAGCAACAAGCTTATCCTCAGTAACAAACACAATAGAATAAGCCCCTTCAAGCTTCTCACACGCATCAACAATTCTCAAAATAAAAGGTCTATGCTTTGAAGTAGCAATCAAATGAAGAACAACTTCAGTATCAGAAGTAGTGTTAAAAATGGAACCCTTTTCTTCAAGCTTAGCTCTCAAAGTGCGATAGTTAACCAAATTACCGTTATGAGCAACCCCAACAGAACCAAAACGGTAGCCAGCAACGAAAGGTTGAACATTTTTGAGCATGGATTGGCCAGCAGTGGAGTAACGAACATGGCCAATAGCTAAACTTCCGGGTAACTGATCGAGCTTAGATTCGTTGAAGACATCGGAAACAAGGCCAACGCCGGTGATGGATTGAAGGATGTTGTTGTTAACGGTGACGATTCCGGCGCCTTCTTGGCCACGGTGTTGGAGAGCATGTAGGGCTAAGTAACAGAGACGGGAAGCTTCAGAGTCGCCGTAGATACCAACAACGCCGCACTCCTCACGAGGCTTGTCGTCGTCGTCGACGAAAACATCATGGGACGTTTGGTTTTTGTTTGAGATGATGATGTCGGAAAGTGGGTTTTTGGAGGAGAGTGTGAAAAAGGGGTTTGTGGTGTTGTGGAGGAGGTAAGGGGGGGTGGGTTTGGGGTAGAAACGGGTGTGGTTGAGACGGGGAGATAGAGGGGAGGGTTTGGAGAGGGAAGAAGAGAGGGTCTGAGACGCAGCCATTGGAGAGGGAAAGGGAAGATGAGAACAGAAGAGAAGAGAAGAGAGAAGAGAGAGTAGTGAGATGATGATGACAAAGTCAGTTGTCTCTAGGTTTTCGGAATTACTTTAGGGGCCCAGATCCATACCACTCCTTTTTCTTGTTTTTTTAATGCATATTTTCTTCCACGAGGACCGCTAGGAATAGTTTTTTTTTTTTTTTTTTTTAACATGGGTGACTCGTTCACTTTAGAAATGACTAACATATAATAAAAAAATTCACACATGTTTAATAAAAGAGTGAGTAATAAAGAGTGATTAATGTTTTTTAATCAACAAAGAGATCTTATATTGATAAAAGCAGGTACAATACAAGAGATGCCTTACAAGTGAGGACACCAAGTTTAGTAAGATTTCAAAAAAAGAACTTTTAATTTTTCATTAATAAAAAATTTTGTTTGGTAATTCTCTTTTAATTTTTAACTTTACTTTTTTTAATTAATTTTTAATTTTTTTATTCAAAAATTATTTAAAGTAGCTTTTGAGTTCCTAGTTTTTAGTTTTTAATTTTTTTTTAATTATTTTAATAAAATATATTATTATTCTTATTAATTAAAATGTTATTTTATGTCATTTTATATTTATTTGTTAATGAAATAGTTAATTTATAAAATTCTCATATTAGTTATGAACTATCAATTACCAGCTATAAGTTATTAATTATCAACTACCAATTAATTTTATAAAATAGAGTCTTAAAAAACTTCTAATTATATATTAGTATATATAGATTGAATTAAACTAGTGTAATAATTAAAGAGATTAATTAGGGTGCGTTTTACATTTTCATTTCATCATCTTCATTTATTTATTTATATTATTTTATATACGTTAAAATAAAAGTCATATTTCTCCTAACATTTAATGTCTATGATTATTCGACGGTATAAAAAAATTTATATTGTCAATACATTTCACTTAAATTTATAATTAAATATTGTAAATAAATAAAATATATAATAATTATTTTCTTTTAAAAAATAACAATAAATAATGATAATAATAATATTAAAATATTGAGTAAAATACAAAATTTTATGAGAAACTTCAAATATAATTAATTACGACTCAGAGAGTTGAACGATGCATTGCATCATATACAATATAGGAAAGAGTTTGGCTAAACTAATGGATTAACAAGGCAAACAAAAAAGAGTTTGCCTAAATCGATGGATTAACAAGACAAACATGAAAGAGTTGTTGGGGAGCATGCTGTAAATGAGATTTTGTGAGGAAGTTTACTGGGAAAAGTTAATGAGCCTAGTTGCTGAAATAGGCTTGCTTGGGGATTGTAACTTAGTTTAGTTAGGGAATGTTTGTATGACATACTAGCTAGGATGCATAGTAATAAGGGATAAGCCTAGTCGGGGGGCTAACACCGACTTAGCTGGGAATTTATTTTTAGATTTTTTGAGGAATTCCGGCCCTTATGTTATATCATGTATGCATGTTTTACTATGAATGTTTGTTAAGCTATGCATGTATGTTTGTAATTTATACGGCGTAATGGTCCACATTCATGGATATGCTATGTGTCACATTGTGCATGGATGCGAGACTTTTGCAAGTTTTGTGAAATTTGGGTAATGGATACCAATTGACGATTGGTCTTTCAAAGTGAGTATAGCAGGTTGGACTCAGTTTTCCTCTTTTTTAGGTTTTAAGCTTGGTAATGCATGTACAACCATTCTGGACGAGCACTGATAGATGATGAGTATTATAAATGGTTAGATGAGAATTTGACTTTGATTTTAGGTGTTGCGTACCAAGCAAGGTTGGGATTTAAACTGTAGTTGATGAATGCCAAGCGAAGTTTGGCTTTGTGAGATGTTGATCTAGGTTATGTTCTTAATATGTGTCAAGAGGTATTGGGTTTTGTGAGGTGCCGAGAGATGTTGGGCTTTGTAGATGTTAGATTCAAGATATTAGGACATGTTAGATTATATGCATGACATGATGTTATATCTAAGCGACCTAATGAATGCATGACAATGATTTTTGCAGTGACTCGAATGCTTTCAAAGGATGCCCTTGCGGTGAGTCGTGGACAACTAAGGCTTAGAGAGTTTGCTTAGTAACAAGGTTGTCTGTCAAAAGATGGAAGGGTGTTATGCCAGCATAACTTCTCGATATTCATTTCAGACTCGATGATTGTTGATGTATGACAGGGTGAGTATGAGTAGCTTGAAAGTATAGAGAGAACTTACTCATATGTGGCATGTTTTGCCCTAATCTTTTAGGTCTTTGAAGAGATTTGTCTCAATATGAGTTTTGAAGCAATCTGGCCATATTAAGCACTTGAGATGGCATGCCCCACTATTTTGAATTTTGAAGCACTACACCCCTGATCAACGGACTCTTGGAATGATTTGTCCATGATGAACTATTTTTTTGAAGTGGTTTCTTCTGATCGAACCTTGCAATGATTTGCCCCAGTATTTGACTCTTAAAGGGTTTTCCCTTTGTTGTACCCCAAAATTTACCCTCTCACTTATCAATATTTTTCTCACAAGACTTCTTGGACTCAAGACAGAATTAGGGTTTGGTCAGCTCAAGACATCTCATCTTGCACTGGTACCCCAAAATTAGGGTTTGAGTTTGCACAAGGATTTTTGGACCACCAATGCTTCATGTGACTTTCATACATCATCTTGGACCCCTAAGATTGCTCATGTTAAGTTTCAAGCCTTGAACCACATTTTTGACCAGTCAATTGGACAATTGACCTAAAACTCAGCTGTATTGGGGAAAAGTCAACTATGGCCAATTTACAGTCAAACTTTATAATTTTTGATCCACATCAACATTTTATACTCATATGTACCATTTGATCAAGTTTGGATCACAATTCCTCAAGAAATTTGATCAAATCATCAAAAGTGCAAAATGGTCAAAATTAGGGTTTTGACTGAGAAAGGGAAATTTTTGATTTTTAACCTAGCCAATGACCAATTGAGTTCAAACATGATTTCAAGGGCTCAATGGCATCATCTTGACCTAATTACATGATTCAAAAGATCTCAAGTTCATTGGATTGACAGATGAATTTTGCAGTCAACTGATCAAAAGTCAATTGTGCACTAAAAAGTCAAACTTTGACTTTTTGATCAAAATCAAGTGCCAAAGGTCATAATTCATCAAGATATGTCAAAATATGAAACTTATTCACCAAGAAAACCAATTTTTAAAATTAGGGTTTTGAATTTGAAAATTTTCATAACTTAGAATTTTTCTAAGTATGAAAATTTTCTTATTTTTTCCTAACTTTCCACCACTTTTTCACCATGATACAATTTGATTCAGAGAAAACTTCCAACATGAAAGTTGTAGTACTCCATGAAATATACAACTTTTTTTCACAAACTTTTCCAAAAAGGTGCTTGGATCTCAAGTTATGAATTTGTGAATATAGGTCCATGAACTAAATAACTTAGTGAAATTTTACCCTAATTTAGGCAGTTTTTAAACCCAACTTCATGGACATTTTTCACCTAGTTCCAAGAGATGTCTCAAAATTAATTTCAAATATAGATTATAGAGCATATTTCAAGCTTTCCAAAATGTCCAAGAACTCTCCAAGATCACTTTTTGTTAGGGAGAATCAAAGAAGAGAAGTTGGCATTTTATCACTTTTGTTCATGCCATTTTCACAAAGCATCAAGTTGCAAATCAGATCTTTGATGTTTGAATCTTGCTTTACAGGTCCTAAACTCATTCTAAACTCCATAATTAAATGCAAACTCAGAATCTAAAGGCATTATCTTTGCTTTTGAAGCATTGTACAAGAGATAATTCCATTTTAAGCATAAAGGTTACAATGCCATTTTCATAAAGTGAGCTTTTGTAACTTTATCAATCTTGAGCCTTGGACCTGTTCCTTTGGTGCAAGCAACTTCCACAGGTCTTAAGAAATTTGTACAAGCCCTTTGCAGCCCTCAAGCTATCCAGTACAAGCATGTTGCATAAGTCACTTCACTTTACTTCACAAGCAAGAAAGTCGGTGAAAAGGTCAAAGCTTGCACATCTGTTGAGAGGCTGACTTTGTATCCATTCTATACAAGTATACAAACTTGTCACAATGCAGAACACGATTTGCTTGCATCCAGAACTCACTCAAACTCAAAAACTCCAAATTTCTGCCCAAACTCAACATTTCTGCAAAATCTTTGCCAACTAATTTTTAGCTCGTGCATTTTGTATTTTAACACTTCAAACAACTCATACACATCATACCAAAGCTATCCAAGCCCTTGCCTTGGTTCTGTAACCCCTGTTTCATCCATTTCCATTTTCAAACTTGGAGCTTGCAGCTTGACTTGTGCAGGAAGTTCCAGCCATTCTCAAGGCAAGATAAGCATTGGAATAGCTTCAGGGAAGTACAAGGAAGCTTAAGCAATCACCAGGCCTCCATTAAAGTCCCTACATTGCTCTACTCAAATCCAGCTGAAGGAGGTATTTTTCTCAAACTCTATCTTTGTATTTAGGCATCCTCAAGCCACGATTTGTGAAGAAAAAATGTAGTCCATAACATGGTGAAGCTGTACATATGCATACTTTCCATTTATATTAACTATGCTGAGAGAATTTGAAATTTGAAAATGCTGAAAAAGTTAGGTCACGAATTAGGGCCATTAAAATTCTCCCTGATCTTTGAGAGTTAGATTACAAAATTTATATTGTTGGAATCGTGAGCTCAAATGCCACAAGTTTCATGTTATCCGTTTTTGTTTTTGTGCAAGTGTGATCGGTGGATCTGGAACTGACTGTTTAACGCTGGTTCGCGAAATGTCGCGGAAGCAAGAGTCGCCACCGTCTTTTATTTTCTCCAAATGGAAAGGACAAAAGCACAGAAAAATTCCTTAAAAGAGATTGCTCTCGGTTCGGGAGGTAGGTTATAGAAAGGGAAGGTGTTAGCACCCTTTCTATCCATGGTTATCCATGGGCTCTTAGATACTTGCTCAATG